TGTATGTGGATGATGTCTTAGTGACTGGCTCCTCAGAAATTTGGTAACAGGTCTCAAGCAATTCTTGGATAATCAGTTTACTATTAAGGATCTTGGGGTTGCTAGATTTTTCCTTGGTGTTGAATTGGATTATAGTCCAGATGGAGTTTACTTAAATCAGAGGAAGTAAGTTCTTGACATACTTGGAGATATGAATATGCTTGGGTGCACTCCAGCTCTCACACCTTTACCACTTGGTATTAAGCTGAATTTGCAGTCAGGCAAAGCTATGTCACAACCAAAAATTTACAGAAGGCTAATTGGGAGGTTGTTGTATCTTGGTTTAACTAGACCGGATGTGACTTATGCGGTCCAACAACTCAGTCAATTCATTAATGATCCTCATGAAGACCACTAGACTGCTGCTTTACATATGCTCAAATATTTAAGTCCACTCCTACATTGGGTTTACTATATCCCAAGAAAACAAGTTCTGTTAATCTCAAAGCCTATTGTGATGCGGATTGGGCTACTTGTAAGGAAACTAGACACTCTGTCAGTGGGTTTTGTATTTTTCTTGGACATTCCTTAATTTTTTGGAAGAGCAAGAAACAAGCCACTGTGTCAAAGTCCACGGCAGAGGCAGAATATAGAGCAATTGGATCAACTGTGACAGAGCTCATTTGGATCAGTTTTCTTGCCCAAGAGTTTGATGTTCAACTGATTTTTCCTATTCTACTTTGGTGTGACAATCACGCGGCCATGCACATCACCTCTAATCCTGTTTTTCAAGAGAGAACCAAACACTTGGAGATTGATTGTCACATTGTCAGGGACAAATTCAAGCAAGGCTTCATTGCACCACAATATGTGCCTTCTCTTTTCCAATTAGCAGATTTGTTCACCAAGGTTATCACTGGATCGCGGTTTACATCATTGCTGAACAAGTTGGGCTTGTCTTCTCCACAATCGGACCCAACTTGAGGGGAGGGTGTTGGAATTCTTGTCAGTCGAAGTTGTGCAATCCATTGTGAAGAAAGAAGATGGTTTTATTTTGCTGCTTGGGAGTTTGCTTTGTTCAGTTTTTTTTCTTTTTCTGTTGCATTTTCTTTTGTTTTGTTTTAGTTGGACGACGTCGTTTTTCTCCTTTGGAACGACGCCGTTTTATTTTGTTTTGTCGTATTGCGTGAGAGTGTATAAATACACTCCTTTTGTACGTACTCTGTGATTTTTGATGATTGAATACAGAAAATGGTTTCCCCAAAATATTTTTTCTTTCTTTAGCAATTCAACAATGAAGCTGCTCTGAGGTGGGTTCGCCGGAAACAATGGCAGACGGGGCTGCTAGACGTGTCCCGATCAGAAGGGCTGGAGTCCGATGGGCTTGCTGCTCGAGAGCGACGGTCACAGGGGATGGTGGAGGTTTCGCTGCGATGGGAGGACGCCGGCGACAAGTTGCAGGTCGTCGGAAAACTAGCAGGCGCCGGCAAAATTTTACTCTCTCCCTCTCTTTTTCTTTTTTTTTTTTTAAAAACGATGAGGACCGAGGGGGAAGACAGAGTTTATGTTTGAACGATTCTCAGGAGGAATGAACTCCTTGGCTGAGATATAATAGAGTGAGAGGGAGCACGAGCACGGAGAGATCGCAACAGAAAAGAAACGTGCGGGAAAGGAGACGACTTGGTCGCTGCGCCACGCGTGAAGAAGAGGAAAATATCTCACGGCTTAATCACAAGATGGGCCAAAAATATTAACTCAATTTGGGCCAAGTGGAATTTAATGGAAAATTGGGTCTTGGGGCTATTTAATCAATTGGGCTGAAAATAAATAGCACAAAAGGGTCGACAATAAAACATACACGATAACAAGAATTTCTGATCGATTCGATTGACGACGAACAACAAATAAAATTACACGACTTATTATATTAATTAGACGACATCTAATTAAATAATTATAAGTCTAAACGGAAAATGTCGAGCAATTAATACAATATAGGCAATTAATTCAAATAACTAATAATAATGTCAATAAATAATATTCGAAAAATCCAATCTTCGAACGGGCGCTACAGCCTACCCACCTTAAAAAGAATTCCGTCGTCGGAATTCAAAAAACAAACTACGACATGATACAAACGAGAATAAGAGGGGAAAACATCAACACATGAAATTCGGGTACCTCCTCTGAATTTCAGTCTCCCTCTCTCAAGTCGCCTTGCCTTGACAACCCCCACTGGACTTGACGAGTACCACTCCCGGCCTTTTCCTAATGGACCCTCTGTTCCAATAGGTCACCGGTACCTCCATATAGGTAGGGTTCTGGCTATCACGCAGCTCGTCACAGTTCACATGTACTCTGAGATTACGCACACGTTTCTTCCATCATGAGGCATAAAACATGTCATGCATCCTCGCGAGCTCCGGTGGTGGAGTCAACCATCAGGCTAAATCATCGACTTGGTCGAGAATCATAATAGGACTGAGTAAAAGAGTGGCTGTAGCCAGAACTACAGCATACTCTACCTCTATCCGCACCGACAACCCCGTACGGTACCATTAGGGTTGTCGCTCGATAACCATCGTTACCAGCATATCTTCCCGTGGTATGGAATTTCTCACACCCTACCCATCTATCAATACACAAGACCCTAACTGGTCCTTTCATGTATCGATAGCATACTCCGACAGACTAACCATATAGGGTTGATTCGTGTAATCGAGCTTCAGCCTCGTGCCCGGGTCATGCTTGAAGACTCGAATACTACATCGCCATGATCCGTGCGTCCTTATAAAACAGGCCGTCACGGAATCCCATACGAACGGCTAACAATCATCAATGACACTATATCCTCAACACCGATACCTTCATAACACACTGTTCTGTTCGATACCGTTGACAAAGCCTCATTCCTTGCCGACACGAGTAACAGCTCGTATGCGGTTTAGGAAGTATCGACTAGATATTAAAAAACAATCTCCTATCGCAGAGTCGGTCTCACGATTAGGGATGCTCGATATTCCCATACTAACGATCTAACTCCAATACCCTCGATCTAACTCCAATACCCTCTCACTCTTCGTAGGTCTCGATTCCTACGAAGTATACGTAGTCTCAAATCGAGACTCGAGACTCTGCCTTAAACCGATGCAGGACCTCTATCTCGCCATCTCAAGAGAATCTCGCATGTGGCAAAGGAAAACTAATCAACAAGCCTCACATATCGAGAGTTATTGATTAGGGATTTCATACAACAATTCGGTGGAACTTGGAGTTCTCGATTCAAGGTTCAGGAGAAACGGTTTCAAAGGTCAGCATACAATTTGACAAGGAATACTGGTTTAACGACCCAAAAGAACATAGTCGGTCTGGGGTTTAATACACTGTCACCCGAGATATGACACACACACACTAGCACTGCATAATCGGGGCGCTGGGACGCGTGCGTGCACCTGTTCGGAGACCAGCTGCAAGGTCAAGGTTTGGCCGTACACAATGGCCTGGGGAGTTCCTGCGTTCGGTGATGGCTACGGCAGCTCTCGTGCGAGTCAATGGTCGTTCACTGCAGTTGGCCTCACGTCTCTCAGCACGGGCGTGTGAGCTCGGCCACCACTTCGCGTGGCTACACCTAACCAGGTTCAGCGTTTAGTTTGGGGTACAATCGAGAAATTTTCTAATCCAGGGTTCGTAATGCCCAAGGTAACCCGAGAAACAAGGTTTTTTCACAATACTTCCGAAACTATGAAATTTTAGGTTTCAACAAAAACAATTCCCCCAGCATTTAAGTGTCAAACAATCTCGAAAGTTTCAAGGGTTTCAAATCATTACAAGGCAATAAACCGAGTTCCAAGTTCACCACCCTTTTCCTAATCGATACAATAATTACACGAATATTAACGATAGAAATAAGGGAAAACATTCCCAAATAGGTCGAACATCGCCTGTAACGCCCCACTTTTATTTACCGAAAATCAGAATAAATTTTTCAAAATTTATTTGAAAACACCTGAGGCGCTACTCATTTTCAAGACGAACTTCAATACTTAACCAATTTTTACGATAATCAATTCATCTCAATACTCAATCCTCAATCATCATTTCAATTATCAATAATTCAGTCATCAATAATCGATACTGCAATCCAATACCCAAACAGGGTTTCTAAAATTCATAATATCTAGGAAGTACACTCCCTATCAATAATCCAATATTCAATATTCCAAAATGCAATAATATCAAAAGTAAGTTCAATAGGCGGAAGCAATAATCAAATAAATAAACCACCACTCGCGTCCCTCCGCCGTGCCCGCAACACTAACCTGCATCCATGAAGAGCAGGTGGTGATGAGCACAAGAGGAAACAATAGTGCTCACCACTATGCAGTAAACGTTATTCACAATAATGAAACAGTAATCAATAATCATAAGGTATGGTCTCAGCATGTATACGAATCAATTAATTATCTCAATCTCCCATCAATAATATCAATAATAGACTCGACTATATATCGAATGCCCTCCGGCCTTACATCGAGTGTCCAGCCAGTAGGAGTAACCCGACGGCCAAGGCCTCACCTTGGTCTTACCAACGGGGTTGTCCAGCACAGGGACCTTTAACCCAGGTCTTACGGCTCAAAAAGTGTCCAACACAAGGACCTTTAACCCAAGTCTTACGGCTCAAAAAGGAGACTACCCTACGGGTACGTTCTATAGCTACGGGGATAACCGTTCGACGGCCGGTACAACTCACATCGAAGGCTACATGGTTCACATGCATACATTGATCATACCAAATTTAAAACAGTAATAACATTTATAGATAGACAATTTTAGAATAACAACCCACCTGGAATTCGGGTAATCAATAGCACACAAGCTGAAGAACGTAGGTCGAGGGCTCGACTCCTCAAACCTATAATTAAGGATTTAATTATTATTAAGGATTTTGATTCGGTTGATTAAACAACACAACAACAACAGGCATAACACACAAACAAGACTAACAATTAACGAGGCAAGGCTCACGGCTAAAACAACATACTAGTCTGAAATATTCACATCGTTAAGCATATACATCATATTATCTCAGCAAAAAGGCACAACATAAAATGGCACAACGTAAAAACATAACAACTCTTTCTTTCTCAACCAACCAATCAACTCTCATTTAGGTCATCCACAATTTGAAACTTAGGCTTGATAATATCACATATTTCAGCATATGAAATAGTCACGTAGGCAAAATCATGCATCTAATTAACTCTTAACCACCTTAAACTCTAAGCATGATTTTCAATATTTATAGAATAAACTTTGACCTCAGAAAATCCACAAACTCAGCATGAAATACATAGTACAAAAACTCAGCAATTAGGAAATCAAACAAGGCACACGAAACAATTATAAAGCCTTATCTCTT